AGAAATACACTCAATGTTGAGATGAAGGAACAGAATCTTTTGTCCTTCTAGTTTTCACAGCTGAGACAAGTAGAAGACAAGACTAAAGTATTTCCAAACCTCTTTCAGAAAAGATGTCTGAAACAAAGAAATTGCTCTCTGGAGGAAAAGCAGTGCATCCATAAAGTATTTCAAATGTGGTGATAATTTACTGTGATAGGCTCTTTTTGGCTGGTATTCTGTACTCAGTTACACTGAGCTTGTTATTGGGTTTCCAGTCAACCCTACCAAAAGATTGGAAAAGTCATTCTGGCACCTTCTATAGCTTATGAAAAGGCAAGACAATTTATCTTACTCAGTTATTTGCCAAAAAGTATAACTATATTTTCCTATAGCCTTAAAATGATCCAAATCAGAGATGAAAAACCTTAAAGCAAGCTTCTTTTGAAAACTTCATAATGTCTCATATTGGCCTAATTTCCAGGACGTTGTGCAGAGAATAGGCATCCAAATATCTTTGTTTTGAAACTAATGCTTTTAAGAACAAACTGAAATGAAATGGCAATTTAGTTAAGAAATCCTCAATATCTTGGAACTCATAAGAGCTGATTTTCATAGAGATGCTTCAATGTTGTTCTTATATTGTGCACTTCACAAACAGATTTTTTTTTTCAATAAAGCTTTATAAAACATTTCTGAGATTTCTCTGGACTAAAGAAAAGGAAAAAGAAGAATTTGATGGATTCTGAATGGAAGAGAACCACCATGTAGGAGGAAAAGATCAGTTTTGCAAATAGGTATATTGCACAAAAAAGAGAGGAACATGGATGCCACGGCTAAGGAATACTTTGAGATGCAATTGGCTGTGCTTTAAGATAGGTGTAAGTGAAAGAAATGAAAGGAGATCGCGTTATCAGAAAAGATACAGAGGAAAAAAACAGCATATGAACAAATCATCCTCCGTTTTCTGTTTGTTCTTAAAACAAATGCGAGTATTGAATACCTCTTTAAAAGGAAATACATCAACAACTTAGAAATGTGTGTGTTAATCAATGCAGACTCAGTACAATGACTACTATTAAAGAACACACTGATCAAAGAAGATTAAACAAAAGATGTGGAGTACTTGGAAGGTGAGAGGTGTGGTGTACTTGGAAGGTGAGAGGTGTGGAAATATCCTATTAAACAGTATAATTGAATGGTCATAAGGAACAGAAAAATCTAAAGACAATATTGTCATGTACTGAATGTGTATAATTATGGGACATCCAAGGGCAAAGGACGTGGATATGGTATAACGATTACTTGCTTTGTCAGAAAGCAATCAAAGTTGAATAAATAGATTAAGAACTGATGTTGCTGATGCTTACTGTAATTCCACAATGAATCAAAGGATGACTGAAATCAGGAACAGCACCTGTGTTTCTGATTTCAAGAAATATTTATCCATGTAAAATTGATGAGAATTAAACACCCAAATTTTGAAATCTGGTAGAAAACAATGCAATGAAAATTTGAATCATACTAGCTATTAAGAGAGTATCATGAGTAGTGTTGTTCTTCATGCTTACTTCAACAAGATTTTTTTTTATAGTGTAACTTCAAGCTTTTCAAAATTCTTTATTGTGTGCTTTGAATAAAACCTCTTTAATGAAAAGCACTTTGCAAGTAAATTCTGTTTGGAATGCTAGTTCTGAAATCTAGATGAAAAAGATCACAGTATATATTCCTAGTTATTTCAGCATGAATTTTACCTCATGAAAATAAATGCCATGTTTTTCACATTTGATCAGACCAGTCAGCTAATGTACGCTGTCTATTTTGAACAGAACCAAGTTGGACTGCCAAGGTGAAAAGCATCACAGAATGGATTAACATATGAAAGCAGAGATTAAAGTGCATGTTGTATGGATTCAGTTGGCAAGATTTTTTATTTTACAGACTAAAAGAGTAGACCTATCAAAATTAAACTTCACCATTGGTTGGGGATTTTTTCCATTCTTGAATTTAAAAGTGTATCTTCTGACACATGTATAGCTGTTGTACATTCTTCTAGTCATCTCTGAAAAACATCCAAGTGGTATCATCTTGCAACATATGAATAATTCTCTTTTGTTACAGTTTGGATATAGAATAAAAGGAGTAAGTGGAAATTTCATATGTCATGGAAGTTTAAATTTCATATACATATATAGATAGGACCAATTATTGGATCCAATATGTAGCATTACACTCCTTAATAAGTAGTGTGTTACCTACAAGGCTCTGTTCAATCATAGCTGTGATTGTTATATTAGATTTTTTTTCTTTATAGTTTGCATTGAATTAACAGAATAGTCCATATGTAATAGAAAGCTTTCATGATGTAGGTATGGCAACAGCAACAAAGGTTCTGAATTATGAAGCTGTATTATGATTTTTTGCCAGAGTTTACATTGTGCTTTCCACATGTGGCCTAAAGAGATGCATAAAAATTAACAGTCTGCACTATTTAATTTTCACCTGTCTCTCTAAGCTTTTGCTCTAATTCAATTGAAGTAGTCCTCAGCAAGAGATTTCTAGGAAAAACTAAAGTGACAAATATGTTCACACAGCTATTTAAAAATCTTATTCCAGCAACTATATTTGGTGGAAAGCATCAAATTTCTAGGATGAAGATTCTATGCTGAGTTAATAGTTCAGTTTTGCAAAGTGACTTGCTCACAAACTGTATTCCAAAAGATTTTTAAAGTGCTAAATAAAACAGCTGAGCTTAAATAATAAATAATAACAACACATAAAGTAGATTTTAAAATAGTTTGAGTATATGAGGAAGATGCAGAGATAAATAAAACAGACTCCTAACAATGAAGATTGTGCAGGGACTGATATGAGAATGAATTCTCTAAGATAATTCACAGTAGAATGTAAAATTTGTTACACATGTCAGGTGATGCAAACAAAGCCCTAATTGCTTTTGTCCTATATATCTATCATATACTGATATTTGTATTAAAAGAGTGATCATACTTCACAAGAAGCATCTTTCCTCACCATTGGAGATAAATATGAAAAAGCTGAGATAAAAATATTGTACATGTCCCTCTTCTGTTGTCAAGAAAAGCTACTTTACAGTGTAGCAATACAAAGTGTAAAATCTTAAGAGATTTCTGCTTAATACTTCAGAGAAAGGGCTCTCTGCACATTTAAATTCTCAATGTGATGACAAGCTTGTGAATATGCCAAAAAGATGATTTAATGAGCTCAAATATATACATGTGTGTATAATTAAAGAGACAGCATCTGGTTTGTTTGTTTGTAGTTTGCTATGAAATGTATAACTTCTTTCTGTGAAAGAGCAGCTGAGCACTTGGTGCTTGCTCTCAATTGATGAAATCCTCCCACGAGCAGAGGGGACTTGCTCTGAGCATGCTTGGGGAAGAGAAGCTGTGGGGATTCCAAAGGCAAAGCAGGAAATCTGATATAATATTTAAGGGATAAGAGAGCAGACAGGCTGGAAAGGGGATGTAGACCTACAGTCAGATTGCAAAGCTGCTGGAAAGAAAAATTATTCTACAGAATAGAATCCTAATCAGAAGAGTTAGGAACTGCTGTAACAGCATTATATCTCAGAAGTATAGAAAAGGACCTGTGCTGCCAGGTCACAGTGACTTGGAGGAGATCTTTTTATACTTATTCTTGTTCTCGAATTTTTCTCAGAACATGGATTTACTATAAAAAAAGAGAATTGTTATAGTGCAAGAAAAATCGGCGTTTGGATGTAGGAGCCAGTTCTGGCATTTGGGGATATTAATTTTAAAAAGGATCTATTGGCAGAGCAACCTTTCAGCTTTGAACCACTGTACTGAATTTGGCTGGCATAGACATTTTCTTCGTGTTCTTCATCCTATGGTGTTAAATTTTAGATTTGTGATCAAAAGAATGTTGATAACGCAATGACATTTTAGTTCTATCTGATCAGTGTTTACAAAGCCTCAAGGCCTTCTCTGCTTCTCATGATGTCCCTCACAGCGAATTGGCTGGGGATGAGCAAAAAGCTGGGAGGGGACACAGCCAGGACAGATGACCTCAACTGATGAAAAGGATATTCCATACCATATGGCATCATGCTCAGTGATGAAAGCTGACAGAAAGATGGATGAAGGGACTATGTTGATGGTTATAGTGTTTGTCTTCCCATGTAACCATTAGGCATGATGGACCCCTGCTTTCCTGGAGATGACTGAACACCTGCCTGCCAAAGTAGCCAAGAAATTCCCTCATCCGCTTTGCTTACACGCACAGCTTTTGCTATACCTATTAAACTGCCTTTATTTCAACCCATGTGTTTTCTCATTTTACTCTTTTCATTCTCTCCCCCGTCTCACTGTGGGGGAGTAGAAGGGGAGTGGAGTGTGTGGTGTGTGAGGGAGTGGCTGGGGGAGGCTTACCTGACTGCTGGAGTTAAACAACACCCACCTAGGGTCAGTCTAAATATGCAGCTTATTATTTACATGATGCAACAGATGGCTACTTCAGATTAAGTCTTTAAGCACACAGCTTTCATAACTCAGAATTACCAATTGGGGAAAACTTGTTCATAATAAATAGCCTTTGAGTCTCTTCCAGACCCAAAATATGTGGAGCAGCACAAGGTTAATAGGTCTAATCTGTGTTAGACTTGTACCAAAAGAAATTTGTTTACTTTGCTCTGACTTCTTCTCTTCGTCTTGACAAAAAAGGGAATTGATGTGAATACTTTGCCTCATAGGCAAACAAATTTAGTCATAGATGTTGTTATATATATTTATTTACAGAGATGCTACCATATGTCTTTTCATAAACAGTATGGAAAACACATTTGTTAGGTGGGTGGGGTTGTTTTGCTTTAAGTGGCCAGCATTTTTATTAAAACATGGGCTTTACCTTTCTAAATGTAGTACTTGCTAGGAATCACTTTGACGGGTTTTCTTAGTGATGTATTCTCTTAGAGGTTGATGCAAAAATGGATTGCTAACTTTTGTTTCCTTGATATTTTTTTTAGGATTTATTTATACCTGTGGTGGAACTTTAAAAGGACTTAATGGCACTATAGAAAGCCCTGGCTTCCCATATGGATATCCAAATGGTGCAAACTGTACATGGGTTATAATAGCAGAAGAAAGAAACAGAATACAGATCGTCTTTCAGTCTTTTGCTCTAGAAGAAGAATATGATTATTTGTCATTATATGATGGGCATCCTCATCCTGCAAACTTTAGGACAAGGTAAAAAACAAATGTTATTACAGTCTAACTTGTACTAATATCTTAAAACTATATGATAATGGTTTTTGCTTATGAATCCCTTTTTATTTAGTCTTTAAGGTGCACTTTCCTTAATTGATGATGTCTTAAAATCTAGATCATGTGCTTTAATTCTAGTTAAAGTAAGTGCTAAAATTAATCTAGCCCTCAAAAATTGTCTCAATAAAATGCAATTAGATGCATATAAACATGGATAAATGAATGTAAAGTGAATATGAGGTTTTGAAAGGCTCACTTTACATGATCCAGTAGCAGTGGAACTTTTGTAATCTTTGCAACAGGAGGTTTTTGATAGAGATCAGGAAAATACAACATTTAAGATATAAAGAATAGGTAATAGTTCATTTTATTTATTTTTCAATTGTACATGAGCATCTTCTAACACACAGAGATCACAGTATGAAAATATCAGTTCCAGAAATTAAGACTGTGATGAGACACAGAACACTTTTTATCAGAGCCTACTTCAGAGTTATGGCTCAGATGTCCAGTTCTGGAAGGTTACCTCTTAAGGGTTATGTAATAATTCTGCAATAGCAACAGATACATTAGCCATACATTTGCTAGTTATATTTATGATCATCTGTCTTGACATTTGTAAATGAATTTGTCATCTATCTAGATTTCTGAGAGGTCTTTGGCACAGCCCCACACAGCATCCTTGCTATTAAATAGGAGAGAGATGTATTTGATGAGAGGACTAATGGATGGATAATTCAGTGGCTGTATGGCCATATCCAAAGTGTTGTAGATAACAACTTAATGTCCAAATGGTGATCAGCAACAAGTGGTGTCCCCCAGGGGGGCTGTATTGGGACAAATAACAAATCTTTGTTAACAATGTGGACAGTGGGATTGAATGCATCCTCAGCATATTTGCAGTTTACACCAAATTGAGTGGTGCAGTTATTTACTTGAGGGAAGGGATTCCATCCAGAAGGACATTGACAGGCTGGAGGACTAGGCCTGTGTGAAACTCATGAAGTTCAATAAGGCCAAGTGTAACATCCTGCTCCTGGGTCTGGTCAATCCTCAGTATCAGTACAGACTGAGGAATGAATGGATTGAGAGTAGTCTTGCAGAGAAGGACTTGGGGATATGGGTAGGTGAAAAATTGGACATGAACCAGCAATGTGCAGTTGCAGTTCAGAATGCCAACTGTACCCTGGGCTGCATCAAAAGAAGCATGACCAGTGGGCTGAGGGTGCTGATTCTACCCCTCTACTTTGTTCTTGTGTCACCTCACCTGGAATACTATGTCCATCTCTGAGGCTCCCAGCACAAGAAAGACATGGACCTGTTAGAGCTTTGTCTTTCACAACAAGAAAAATGAAGATCATGTAGTTTTTCTCCTTTCTTTCCGCTCCTCAAAAGATAAAATTGAGATTTGCTCAAATATAGGAGCCCAAAAAGGCCCTCACTGTCAGTCAAGACTTCTACTGGTGAATCCACTCTAAATTGTAATCTCAAAGAGTACATGAACAATACTTTGCCCAAATGCAAAAGAGTAAAACAATTATTACAGTTAGGAACCAATGGTCCTTACTGAGTTACAGGTTTAAATAGCATCAGGGAAAACAGGTGAAGGAAGTTAGGAGGATGAAAGGAAGAGGGAAATAATATCTTGCAAAGGCAAAATTATTTTTCTTTATGTCTCATTCAAGCTACTGAAAAGGTTTATATATATTTATGTGCACACATATGTTTGTATCTATGTATATGTATCTGGACACATGGATATATAGGTACCTATATACATTTATAGGTATATGTGTGCAGGATTCTTTTTTAATTAAACTAGTCTTTCAACGCAGGAGCTTGGGGATATGTTGGGGTTTTTTTAAAGGTCAATATCTTGAGAAGAAAGCCAAGGAAACCTGTCATGCTTAAAAGTTTTTGTATTGTATATTTAGGATGCCACTACATTCTGGTGAAGAAGAGTATAAGGAGTTCTGTGGAAAAGAATAGAATAAGTCAGCACTTAAAAAGGAAAAGATGATTAAATCTCAGTATAGGTCCTGAAATAGACTGCTTTCGCAAGACTTACAAGGTCTTGCCAGAGTGTGGGTGCAGTAGAAGAATAGTACACATTTGTGTGAGTAGCAAATTAGATTTTAAATTAAGAAAGTGTGATAGTGAAATTATGCAAGCTTTACTAAATCTTTCATGGTGAAGTTTATTATCTCAGATTGCTGTAGCAAGTAATGCTACCTGGAGTTTTCTATTTATAAAAGATTTTTAAAGAAGTGAAGTTTTACCAAGGTGCAGTTTCTAGTGGAAATAATTCTTCTAGAATTGCAGCGCATTTTGTCATTTTACTTAGTGACATTAATGGAAGCATAATCAGATTACCCTTGTCACCCTCCCTTTAATTTTGTAACAGACAAAAATGTTTTCCAGGGTCTAACGGGTGTATTTGAAAAATATATGTAACTGGACGGCTAAAAATATTGTTTCTGACAGATAAGGCCATTATTTCTTTTTTTACTTCAATATTTTAACATAATTTTCTGAATGAATTAAAATGATTTTGCAATTTGACTACTCGTGAAGCTCATGACCTCTGACTTGTTCCTCATCCAGTTTTGTACTTCTTTGTTTAAGTGGTCTCCTCAGCATTGAATCTTGTTGAAACTTGCAGTCATTAACTGTCTTCAGTGAATGCACAACAGCCTTAACTGATTTAGATGGCACTTAAATGGCAGCTAAATGATAACAAATGGGAGAAAAGTATGTAAGAGATAGCCATTATGGGAAGAGTACAGTCAATATTACACTTGCATCTTTGTGTTATTGTATATGCTTGATTTAGTATATATCATATGATAATCTTTGTCTCAAATTATACAGAATAGTTTAAATCTGGGAGCTATATGCAAAAAATATATATCTGCCCATAAATTACATTCGTAATCAGGTACAAAAAAATCCATTTGCAGAAAGACAGTATTAATTCCTGTATTTGAAACAAACCTTCAGCAAAATTTCCTAATTGGGAGTCTTTCTGTGGCACGTCAATTAGGTCCCTTCATAAAAAAATAAAAATAAAGAAACAGGGTTTCATTTTCTATGATTACTGCCATTCTGAGTGAAAGTGTTGCATTTCCAGATAAAACACCTCTTCCATTTTTTCAAAATTTCTGTCTCTCACATTCTTTTTCTGTAGTACTAGATGAATCATTTCAATCAAGATTTTAAAAGATGCATATTGATAATATGTTTTCAATTTTCTGGGTGCCCAACTTGAGAACAAGAGTTTTGTTTGCACTAGTGATAAGAAATCCCATGGTTTAATGAAGCTAACAGAAGGTATGTTTGAACTGATAAAAAAATCACATAAATCAACTGCTTTGCAAAAGCCATTTGGAGTCATCTGATGATACCTCTTGCATGTTATGAAAACATGTTATGGTATAATTTGTAAATAATCCACTGTAGTAGCTGCTGCCTTAGGAAGTGTCAGGAAAAGAAATGCTCCATTCAGGGCACAAGCTTGGAGCCAAGGAGACCCCACTCAGGCTGTGCTCTCACCAACAGGGCACAATCTTGCAGGGCCTGAACATGGAGGGCAGAGCTGGGGACTGTAACAGGGTCCAGTGACAGCATCCTACACAACAAGTGATGAGCCAGTTCCTGGGTGCTGCCAGGGTCTCCAGCTGTGAGGAAAAAGAAGCAGGAGCAGCTAAACTCCCCATGGATTAGGGTTGAGAGGCTCATACAGGAGGCAGTGGCAGGGACAGAGCTGCAGCAGGGTGTGGATACTGCAGGGTGGGTTGAAATGTAATCCCAGGATCCATGGGCAGTGGTGAATGGGAGTCCAGGAGAGGCTGGTCAGGATCAGGTAGGGCTCTATTGGTTTTCTCAAAGTTCTGATACTGCATAGAAAAATCTAGGAGAAAATTATTTAATGCTTGCCTTTAAAACAAGTTTTAGATGTCATACAAAACAAAGCATGGAGCTACCTATATGAATTTTTCATGGTATACTCTTCATGTCACTCCTTGAAAAGCCACATGGAAGCCATAACTAATTTTAAACTATGTGCTTAGTGGCAGTGATGTAGTACATATGTAGGTGGGTGAGAGAATGGTAATATCAACTCTGACATTTCCTTGCAATTATTTTACTTTGCATCTTGGATAACACTTTGTTTTCTACTTTTGAAAAAAAATGCCTAAGAATAACATATAATATACTGCCAGTAAATACCAAAAAGTATGCTGGCCTTTTTTTTTGTTTTTTTGTTTTTTTGTTTTTTTTTGCTTAAGGAGTTAGATGCTTGGAATTGAATACTAATTTGAAAAGAGATTTCATGCTCAATAGTTTTCTAAAATATTTTTTGTTGTAATTAGCTACCCCAACTTTCAGTGTCATATTCAAAATAGCTTTAAATATTTGAATAATGACTTGCAATTATTTACCCAAGCTCTGTTCACAATTCCAAGGCAAAGTATTTTCCAAATTTACTAGTACTTAACCAGTTAATTAATTTAACCAGTAAATTTAATTGACATTTAAATATTCCACACAAAATTAAAATTGCATTGGAATAAATGAAACAAACTCACATCTATTTTAAACAGAGAAATAAAACAAATCCCTTCTGCAATTCTTCTGGGATAAATTGAAACATTCAATTGAATTTAATCCCATTTAATAAGTACTTTTCTCTCTCATTGTATTGGCTGAAAGAATCTTTCATATGTTTATGCTGAGAAAGCAATTTTTTAGCAGCCAAAACTATATATTTTTCAAAGTTAAAAATAAAATTATTTAGAAAATTATTAGTCTACCATAATGTTCTGGCAAAAAAACATCAAAAAATTCCTTCACATATGTCTTCAAAAGGACAGACACGGCATGGGAGTTTGGAAAGCTCCACTGTTAGCAAAAAGGTGTAATAATTTTGTGACCACTATTCATTTGTTTGCATAAATGAGAAGAAGTATGAATATGTTTAC